CATGGCATCTAAATCTGTCATTGGAAATTGTATGCCTTTTACTTTTAACTCTTGATATACTTGAACAACTCCTTGAGTATGTGGTTGATGGCGGAATGTATCTGCCCATGTTTGAATTAGACTTAAAACTTTTTCTTGCACTGCCGTTGGCGGTTCATTTTTTGGTCCAATTAACTTAACCAATTCTTGTACAAATTCTCGTGAACAAGCAAGAGCATGAAAACGTTTTCCACAATTTTTTACACATGTTTCCAATACCTAATTCATTAAAATATATAAATTTTATATATTTTTATATTTGATAGGAATAGACAAGTTTTAAAAATTGATTAATTTAATAATTTAAATTATAATTAAAATCAATCTTAAATAATAACAAAAATATCTTATTATTTTATAAAATTAATTATAGAAATTAATTTTTTAATTAATTTTAAAAAATTAAAATAAAAATAAATATATTATTACTTATATAAAATATATATATTAAATATATTATTTAATATATATATTATTATATATATTAATATATTATTTATTATTATTTAATTATATGTAATAATTTTATTATATTATGTTATATATATTGTGCATATATTGTCTAAAATAAATATATTATATAAATATTATTAAAAATATATACTAACAGTAAGAGTATACATGACTATAGTGTAATTTTTTCCAGCAGCCTGATTAAGTCTGCGTTTAATTGCTTTAATTGCATCTCTTGGCCCATCTTCTGTTTCATTTATAATATCACATATTTCCATATTAAGTGTCCAATTTTCGCTTGGTAAAGTACCATCTGTAGCTTGTTCTAGAATATAGAATTAAAAATATCACTTTATTTTTTTACAGGTTTTCTTTAATAAAAAAATATTAAATATTAATATTATAAATTATGATTCATGACACAAATCTGAAGACATATATATACATAGAAAAAAAAAATCTATAGATATTCAAGTATTAATTAATATTGACATACAAGCAGATATTCATATAAAAAAAATTCACTAATTAATTATTACTATATTATTAAATTAATTGATATAATATATTTTGTAAAGATAAATAAGAAACTTACCTATTTTCTGTCCTACTGGTGTCGAAAATGGATTGACATTTACTCCAAAAAATGACATTATTACACGATATATGAAATTGATTTTATATTCAATTATATTAATTTGATTCACTTGTGCATATGTAAGGCACGTAACAAATTTTGACAGGAACAATATTTAATAATAAATTAAAAACTTTTTATACTGAGAACGTCAGTATCATATGACCCATGCAATGATAAAGACAGACGTCAAATATAAAATGACATGAAATTTTAACCAATCAGGTACAACACTTTGAGAATACCATTTTGATTGGATCTAACATTTAAATTAAATTCATTTTACTTCACAAACAAATAAAAAAAATTTTAATATAAAATTTATTAATAATATAGATTTGAAATAAAATTAAATATTTATATATGCTATATAATGAAAATGAAAGAATTTTCGAAATTTTAGTCATTTAAATTTGTTTAAATTTTTTTTAAATTTTTATAATTAAATAATTTAATAGAAAGAAATAAATTGCATTATATATAAATTTTTATTAAATTTCTTGTTCGTATGATAAAAAATATAATTTAATTTAATAATTATCAATAATAATTAGCTTTGAAATTTGATCATAGAATATATAATTTCTAGATTCTTTTCATTTTGGATCAATATTTAAATGTATATAATTATATAAGTAAATGTAGAGAGTGCTAAAAAAACAAAAATTTATGAAAAATAATTTGTTATTCATAAATATATACATAATTTTTATTCGGATTTCAGATTTAAAAATAAAGTTTTAAGAATCAATTATGTGCGAAATAAAAAATATATATATATAATTAACATTTATAAATATTTTTCTATAAAGACTTTCTATAAAGACGCTTGCTATTAAATAATTTACATTCGAAGCATTAATTTTTAACAATTTATATATAATTATATTAATTTAATTAAATATATTAATGTCAATATATACTATTCAACGATTTAATTTAATTATGATTTAATCATGATTACATAGTTTAGCTCTTCGTTTAATTATAAATAATTCTCGTTGATAAATCATTGTTGCGTGGCAACTGAATAAAAACAATATGACATAATATAATAAAATAATATATTCTCATAGTTGATTTAATTTTATATAATTTATATATTTATATAATTTTATAAAAAACTAAAAATGAATGCGAATGATCCTACGATATTACAAGAATTTGCACAGCCTCGTGTAATAAATGAAGATATGTTATTAAACTTAATAACTGAACAAGGACCGAAAGGAATAGCTGGTAGACTCTTTTATGAGGATGGTATTAATTTAGATGAAACAAAAGAAATTCGAATTGAATTTCTTAGTATGTATTAAATATGACATTGATTTTATTTTGATTTTATGTATATTTATTATAATATTTATTATAATACTTATATTTATTAAAAATCCATTTTTTTAGATATTTTAAAAATAGATTATTTATGGATGATGCCAAATCTTACAAAATTAAAATTATCCAATAATATAATTGAAAAAATAGAAAATCTTGATGCACTTGTTAATTTGAAAGAATTAGATTTATCTTTCAATCGTATTAAAATAATAGAAAATTTAGACAATTTAACAAAATTGGAAATATTACTTTTATTTAATAATGAAATTAATGAAATAGAGAACATAGATAATTTATATCATCTTATGATTTTTAGTATTGGTAATAATATTATATCAAATTGGAAACATGTATGTATTACAAATTAATCTTGAAAATTTTATATTTTTTGTATTTTTATTTATTTGTATTATTATTTAGGTATTATATTTAAGAAAATTTAAAAATTTATACAGTTTGAATATGAGTGGAAATCCATGCACAAAAGAAGAGGGATATTTAGATTATGTATTTGCATTTATACCTCAATTAATTTATTATGAATACAAAATGATAACTAAACAACAAAGACAGACAGCTAGAGAAAAACATTAGTAATTATATAATTTTTATAATATATTTATATATTATATATCATATATAATAACATATAATATGAATAAAAAATATAATATGAAAAATAATTTGAAAAACATATAATGAAAAATATATATGTATATTTATATTGTACAAATTTACTAATATTATATAATTTATAGTAGAGCTTTACATATTTTAGAAGAAGCAGAAATGAAAGAAAAAGAAGAATTGACTTTAAGACAAGAACGTGAAAAAAAATTAGCTTTTCTTACTACTGCATGTGTAGAATATCTTGATGAAGATCATCTTTTTTACCAAATGTTTGAATATGACAAAGGTTTATAAAATTATTATCAAATATAATAATTATATTTTTTTATTTATTAATACATAATAATATATTAAATTTATTTTATATTTAGAAGGAAAAGATTTATCTATGGTAAATGAAGATACACAAAATGCATATGAACAATACAAAATAAATTTTTCTACTTTATGTCAAGAACTTTGTGAAGTAGGATTAAAAGAACATGATAAACGTTTAGACGAAATAAATCTTTATAATATTGGTGTAAATGAAGGAAAAAATATTTCACAGAATCAAGGAAGGATGTAAGTGATGTATATAATAAATATAAAATAAACATTATAGATATAGGAAGGATGTAAATATAAAATTGAAACAATTTATATTATTCATAATTATAGGATTGTAAATGAAGTTTTGCAAACTAAAGCTGTTATGTTAGTAAATATTAAACAATTATTAAAAAAATTAGTTGAAGATATAGACGCTGCTACATTAGAAGATATAACTCAAAAAGCACAACAACTTTCTCAAGAATTTAATAATATAGTAACTGAAACATGGACAAAATTAATGACTATTGAAGTAGATTTACATGAACAAATACAGGTATATTTTTATTAAAATAAATCATATATAAAAATTTTAGATTGAAAATATTAAAAAAAATTTTTTTCTAACAAAGGATATAAATGAAATATTCAGAATTAATATTTCCGATATGATAGAATCTTTCTTAACAACTGTACGAGGATATTTTTCACAATTACGTAATTGTGAAGCAGAATATAATGATACTATTAATGGATTAATTTTATATTATCTTAGTGGTTTTGGAGAAGATCAAAAACTACCTCGTCATTTATTAAATTTATGTGAAGATAAAGATATGTTAAGTTATAATCTTAATAATTCTCATGAAAGACATTTACAAGTAAGAAATAATATTTCTATATATTTTTTTAAATTTTTCTTCACTTTAAAAATTAAGAGAATAATTCTAGGTAATAGATGCTCGAGAAGATAGCATGGTAAATCGATTAAGAAATTGGCTTAAAGAATATAATGAAGAGTTATCAAGGTAATTAAATTACCTACCTTCTTCTTTTATGTATTTTCATACTTTCTTTTAAATTTAAATTTTTTATTTAGGCAAGAAATTGAAAGAAATAATCAACAAGGGTTAGAAATAGCACATTTTGCAGACTCTCAACAAGAAGAATTTTTATATCTTTTACAGCAATTAAATATTAGTGATCCAGAAGTTATGTTAGCACTTGAAACTACTTAAAATTTAATAGAATATTTCTCAAATTATTCATTTAAAAATAAATATTTAAAAGTAAGTATTTTTATTGAATTATATATATTTATTGAAAAATATAAATTTAATATATATTAATATATTTCAATCTAATACATATCAATATATTTGTATAAAAATTCATGTTTATGAAATTTCCCATGATAAATTTTTATATGAAAATTTATTTTTATAAAAGTTCTATTTTAAAATTTATTTTTATATTATAAACATAATTTTTATATTATATTTTATATTATATATATTTTTATATTATAAACATAAACAATATTAATTCAACTTCTTTCAACAATAATTAATTTATTGTTGAAAGAAATATATTTGAATTAAACATTTTTATTTTGCAAAGCTTCCATGTATAATTTTAGATTAGTTTGTACATTTGGAGATTGAATAAATGTTATAAATTTATTAAGATCAGAATTTGCGTTTGCTTTTAACCATAATGAGTTATGTTTTCTTAATTCCATTTTTGTTTTTTGTCTTCCTTTAACTTCATAAATATTCTAATTAATAAATTTTATTTATTTTAGGTAAAAACTATACTTACAGGATATATTTTTAAAGCTTTTGATGTAATTTTGACATCTTTCAATTGCATTTGCTTTGTTTGAAGCTAATTCATCTACAAGTCCAATTTCTAATGCTTCTTTTGGATGAAACAATGTTCCCCTAAATTAATATTTTTTTATTAATTATAAACATTATAAAATAAAATAAATGTTTTATTATACATTTATCAATAATAAATTACTGTAAAAGTGCTAATTCAGCTCTTCTATATCCTAATATATCAATGTAAAGAGCCTTCATCCATTCTGAAGCAACAATTCCCAATTGTGTTTCATTTAATCCTATGGTATGTTTTCCTTCAACTAAAATTCTATATTCACAAGACATTGCTAATAAACATCCACCAGCAGGACTAGAACCCTTTATTAATAAAATTACATGATTATTATATTATAATTATATATGATTAAAAAAAATAATTTTTTATATCATTTGTATCATTATGTTGATTATTTTGTCAATAATATTTAGAATAATACATTAATAGCAGCAGCTATTGGTATTTCCAAATTATATAAAGTTAACCATGTGTTTTGCATTGCAGTCCAATATTCAATAAGTTGTTTTTCAGTTCTATTATATATTTCCTTTATATCAATTCCAGCTGAAAATATATTTGATAATGATGATGTTAATATAACACCTTGACATTTTTGTTTCTGTACATCTATTAAAGATGTATTTAAAGCATTTAATAATTCTTTATTTAAACAATTTACAGGTGGTCGTGCCATTGATATTGTAGCAATATCTGGGAAATAAGATTATTAAATAAAAACTTATTTCATGAAGTTAAAGTAATCATAATATTACCTGTATCATCTTTTGTGACTTCAATTACTTTTGAATTTACTGCATAAGTTCTATATAAAAGAATTTGTAAATTTTTGTTAAAAATTTTTTTTAGAATAAACATTTCGATTATTGGTTATCAATAAAATAATCAATAAAATAATTAATTAATTATAATTTTATGTTTATAATATATTAATAATTAATAACTTATTAATTAAAATAATAAAAAATAAGTAATTTAATTCTGAAGTTAACATAAATAGAACAGTGTAATCACTCTCGTCTGCGGTATAAATATATGTTATACAATCATAATTTTATATCCATTTTATTTTTTATTATATAATAATTATTTTATAAATTATAAGTAATATTTAATTATTCTATAATACTTTGTAATATCATAGATATTTTATATTTTTTATTTAAATATTATTGTTAATAAAATAAAATTCAGAAAATTTAAATAAAAATTAAATAAAAAAAAATTAAATTTAAATAAAATATAATTCAGAAAAGAACGTAATAAATCTTATTTATTATTAAATATCTATAAAAAAAATATGTTACTAATCAAATTTAAATATTATGTTAATTGTAAAATTTAGTAAAACATGTATGTATATAAAAATTGACATAAATATCTTTAGATGTATAATTAGTATAATTCATTAAAGATATGATATGATTATAAATTATTGTATCAATCAACAATAGAATTGATAAAATAATATTTTTTATATTGTTAAATTGTGATTATTATAATTATAAATTATTATAATTGAGAACATATATTGATAAAACGAAAAAGAAATCTTTTTTAAAAATAATTCACATAAATACACTTGTAAGAATGGAACGAATCGAAATGAAATAGAATAGATTACGGGCAGGTGCTAATATGGCGGCTATTCAGCTTTATAGTTTCGTGACATCGCCCTTTATCTTAACATTTTTTTAAAACGTTACAAGACTTCGGTCACTGTGTGACAAGGAAAAATAATGTCTTAAATGGATCAGTTGATGTTTGAAAAGTAAATCAATTAGCAAAATGTCAACAAGATCGCAACTTACGAAAGATTTAAATGGTTTGTCTTTTATTGAATGTTTACGTTCGTATTGTCGAGCTGTCATACATTAAAAAAATACGATTTTTTCTTTTAAACAATCTTTATTTAATAATAATATTTAATAATGTTTAATTTTGTTAGTTTTTTATTCCATTTTATAATTATAGGAATTGGATCCCAACTGAATTTTAAAAATCTTTTTATTAATTTCGTACATTTTATTAATTATAAATACATATAAATCTATTTTTTATAAATTATTTTTTATAGAATCAGTGAAAGCATTATTAGGTAAGCATGTCAAGATATTGTTAAAAAATGTTGTAAAACTGGAAACAAAACAAGATAAGCAAGAAAATCGTGTTCTGGTAAGTAATATTTAAAATATTAGAACATTATGATATAAAATTATGAAGTAGAATTTTTAAAATTATTTGAAGTGATAAGTTAATAAAAAAAATTAAATTTTTATGAATTAAGGTCTTTTCACCATGCCGTTTATTTCTATTAACGGCTAAAGTGCCCACAAGAGTAAGTTTATAAGTATATAAGTAATTTTTTGTTATAAATAAAATTTTATAATTATTTATTAATTTACAGATTGACTGCCATTTTCACTATTTAGAAATAACATCCATAGAATCCAAAAGAGCAAATCAATTATCTTTAAATGTTGGGGAAAGATATTATAATTTTACTACCACGGGAGCAGGTGCAGATACTGCAGAAGTAGATGCAATGATTGAGGCCTTACATACTGCAATTCGAAATATCTTTCCCACTGTACCATTAAAGTATATATATTATTTTTTTTATGTATTTTTTATGTATTTATTTTTATTGAAATTATTGATATTAATATTATATGATTTTTATTATAGTTATATTATAAGAAAAATAGAAATAATACCAGCTAGTAGATTGCAGAGCATAAGAGGTAGTGAATTAGCTAGAAGTACAGAAGCAACAAGACATACAGGACCTTGTGGGGGATTTTCAACGCAATATGCATGCATGTGTGATTTACATGGTGTACCATATAGAGAAGAAGTAGCTTGGGTAACTTGTTAAAGTATATAAAATGTTATATTATATTATATTATTGAATTTTTTTTAAGAGAATTTCATTTATAGGACGTTGATACAATATATCTCTCTCATGATACTAGAGAGTTAAATTTAAGAGATTTTGATCATTTAGATCAAAAAGATTTGGTGCCAATTATTTCTGCCTTGGAATATAATACTTGGTTTACTAAATTAAGGGCATCTCATCTTAAATTAAGTCATGAACCTTTAGAAAGATTATTACATGTTATGCGCAGATCCCTTTCCATTCAAGAACTTTATTTAGATAATCTTGGAATAAAATGGTAAAAATAAAAAAAAAATATAAAAATTATAAAAGTAATTTTATATAATAAATTAAAAAATATTATTTTTTTAGGGATTTTGCACATAAATTATCATTAGCTCTAATCTCTAATGCTAATACAATGTTGCAGACTATTGATTTATCTTATAATACTATTGAAGATAAAGGCAAGTATTATATATAAAGATTTTTATTATAAAATATTTTTCCTTAGTAAATCCATTTTGTGTTTATAATTTTTTATTTTTTAGTTTTTAAATATATTTTTAAAATATCCCTGTACAATTTTTTTTTATATTTTTATAGGAGCCTCTAGCTTGTGTGGGATAATAGCCAAATTAATGCAAGGTGTGCAAATAATTATTAATGTTATTAAATTCCTTAACTTTTATGTTTAACTTTTATGTTTAGAAACACAATCCTTCATTCATTGTTTCAGTATATATTTAATTATTTAATATTCACATATAATTTATATATAACATATATATTATATTTATTATTATATATTATATATTATATAAATTTATATAATGTTATATATTATATTATTAATATATATTATAATTATTATTAAAATATATTATATTATTTATTTACTTTATCTATTAATTACTAAATGAATAAATTAAAAGTTTTTCATTTATAATATCACAATAATATAATAGTAGTACTTTCAATAGTATCATTTTTAAGGAGGTGCACATTTAAGCGGACCTATTGGAAAATTAGCTAAGGGTTTACAAAAATTAAACTTGGCACATTGTGGATTAACTGGAAAAGGAATAAGTCAAATTGCACATGCATTAAGTTTAAACAGAAGTATGCCAACTAGCTTACAATATTTGAATCTTTCAGAAAACTCTTTGAAAGATGATATCAATGTAAGTTATTTAAAGCTTAATTAAATAATTAGTTATAATAATAATAATTATAATAATATATTATAATTAGTTATAATATATAATAAATAATAATAGAAAATGATTATTATATATTTACAGAATTTATGTAATTTTTTGGCACAACCTAATAGTCTAACTCATTTAGATTTAAGTGGTACAGATACAACTCTAGAATGTGTAAGTAATTACGTATATGTGTATTTTAATTTTCTATTAATTAAATTTAAATAGAAAGCCTCATATTTTGTATTTATTTTATCTAGCTATTTGGTGCTTTATTACGGGGTTGTGCAACTAATCTAGTCCATTTAAATGTTGCTCGCAACTCTTTTTCAAGCAAAAAAACCAAAGAAATACCTCCCAGTTTTAAGCAGTTTTTTACAGCTACTCTCTCATTAAAGTACTTAAATATATCTTGTTGTAAATTGCCGTTAGAAGCATTGAAACATTTATTACTTGGTTTAGCATGCAATGAAAGTACAGTTGGTTTAGAACTTGATATGAGTGGAAATAATTTAAGCTCTATGGGTGCTCATGTATTGGAATCATGCATCCATGGTGTACGATGCATAGCATCATTGGATATTTCAGATAGCAGTAAGTATATATTATAATGTAAACAAATTTATTATTTTAATCTTTAAATTTTGTATTTTATATTTTTTTACAGATATGGATGTTGATTTAGCACAAGTAATAACTGCTATAGGAAAAAATAAATCTATCAAACAATTATATATGGGTCGTAATACTATTAGCATGAAAAGCAAACATATAGCTGTTGTGATGGATGCTCTTGTACAAATGCTTCAAGAAGATGATTGTGTTTTACAAGCATTACATTTACCAGATTCTCGATTAAAATCTGATCTCTATAATCTTATTAATGCTCTTGGGAGTAATACATGTCTTCATATCTTAGATATTAGTGGTAATCAAATTGGAGATCCTGGTGCTAGATTATTAGCAAAAGCATTACAAATTAATAATCATTTGAGGACCATTATTTATGACAAAAATAATATTACTCTTCAAGGTTATGCTGATATTGTTCATGCCTTAGAAAAGTATATAGTTTTATATATTAATAATGAAAATATATTAATAATTCTGATTTATGATATTTTAATATAAAAAATTCTTTCATAGAAATTGTAGTGTAAGACATATGCCATTTCCAATTTATGATTTACAACCTTGTATGAAAACTTCTGCTGAGAAAACTGAACAATTAATTAAAAAAATTCAGGATTTATTACAAAGAAATGTTACACCATGTAAATATAGTCATGGACAAGCATTTAGATTGCAACAAGGATTTTTGTTAAGCTCTACGCAACAAATGGTCGATAGACTTGTTGTACAAACTCAAGATACTATTAAAGCTATTGCTGCAGAAAGCTGTGATGCTAATAATGATATTAATTATGCAACTGGACTGATACAAGATGCAGATAATTCTAAGCAGGTATAAGATATTAAATATTAAAAAAAAAATATTTATTAAATATTTAAAAAAAAATTATGAATAAATCTTTATATACAAATGAATTTTTTTTAGCTTTTACCACGATTACATGAAGTTCTTCAACGAAGAGATGAAAATAATCCAATCGAATTAAAATTACATGAAATGGCAAACGAACTTCATAAAGTTGTAACTATGTATTTGCAGGTATTTTACATTATTTAAAAGGAAATATATTTCTATTATTATTATTTAAAATTTAATGATTAATTTTTTAAATAATATAGGATTCATTAGATGCTATGATAAAATGTGCAAATGAACAATGTCCTACTATACTTTCACAAACGGTGATTAGAGGCGATGAAAGTGAATCAGTTGCAGTGGAAGATGATTTACGAAGTAGTTGCAAAGAAAAAAATCAAATCAGTAGTGAATTTGTCCATACTACTATTACAGAACAGGCTGGGGCAGATATAGTCAATAGAGTCAAG